TTTAAGCTCCTACCACAACCTTTTCCAAATTAATACAATCAAGAATATAAACAATGGCATTTTGGATTTAGTGTTTGTACAAGACCGCGAAGTTAAAATAGCCCAGGCTGAAAGTGCCCTCCTGCCAGTGGACCTTTACCATCCACCACTTTCTTTTTCTTTACAATGTAAATCAGAGTGTTTCAACAACTCTGGTCTAAAGGGTGACGGCTTTTATAGGGACTTCAAATCTTGGTTGAAGTGACAGACTTTTTATCCCAGTTTAAATGGGACGAGTTATTTATGAACAAAACTCTTAATGATATGGTAAATATGTTTTATTATATAGTTTACTTAGCAGTCGATATCTATGTTTCTCTGAAAAAGTTTTCAACTCAGAAGTTTCCAATTTGGTTTTCTCAAGAACTTAAAGAAACAATAATTGAAAAAAAGAAAGCACACAAAAAACATCGTTCAACTGGGTTGTATTCAGACTATATTCAATTTTCTACTTTAAGAGCAAAGCGTAAATCATTAAAAAAACAGTGTTACCAAGACTATATATCGCTAACCGAATCATCTCTTAGAGACAATGTTAAAAACTTTTCGAAGTTTGTTAGTGGTAAAAGGGGAAAGAGCTGTATTCCATCAGTTGTGCATTTTGGGGATGTATCCTGTTCATTGGGGGGAGGGGAGGGGGGGAATTGTCAATTTGTTTGCTGGCTACTTCTCAAAAATGTATAGCAACAGAGACTTTACACCGGAGGACTCATTACCTTCTGAAAACATCAATCTTTCACAATTGAACTTATCAATTTCATCAATTTATGAAAAGCTGTCAACATTGGACATAAACAAGGGGCCCGGTCCGATGGTCTTCCGTCGTATCTTGTTAAGCATTGCAGCTTCATATTTTCTAGACCACTTCATATAATTTTTAATAAATCCCTAAAAACAGGAATTTTTCCAATCTATTGGAAATCAAGCTTCATTACCCCTATACTGAAATCTGGTGATAATTCCCGGGTTAATAATTACAGGCCTATTATCATCAGGCATTTTGAGTTGTATTCCCAAAGTATTTGAGAGTTTGGTATGCGACTACCTGTCTGCTTGTTTGAAAAATTGCTTTATAGACCAATTTGGATTCCTGCCACATCGCTCCACTGAGCTTAACTTGCTCACATATACTGATTTTCTCTTGAATTCATTGGAAGAAGGGTCCCACATCCATGCCATATACACAGATTTCACAAAGGCATTCGTTAGGGTGAACCACAAAATCCTTATTAAGAAGTTGCAGCATTTTGGAATCCAGGGACAACTTTTGGCATGGTTAGTCTCATACCTTACAGATAGAGCGCAAATTGTGCGAGTTCAGAGCTTCCAGTCTAATGAAATTACTTCCAGTCTAATGAAATGTGTTCCACAAGGTTCACATCTAGGACCTCTACTCTTCAATATTTATGTGAATGACATTGCCTCCTGCTTTAAACATGCATTTTTTCTGTTGTTCGCAGATGATCTGAAGTTTTACTTGAAGGTCCAAAGTGAAGATGATTGCTACAAACTTCAATCTGATCTGGACCACCTGTCAAAGTGGTGCAACCCTAATGGAATGGAACTTAACACAAACAAGTGTCAATTAATGATCTTCAGCCGTAGAAGGAATCCCATACATCACATCTACAATATTGATGGTTCACCCCTACTGCAGGTATCTCAAATAAAGGTCTGGGAGTGTTACTTGACAGCCAGCTGACTTAAACATGTCACTTATCATCAATATTGTCACAATCACTTCAGATATTGGGATTTATCAAACGTTGCACCAACGACTTTCACAGGATTCCCTCTATCAAACTACTATTCTGCTCCCTGATACGACCTCACCTGGATTACTGTTCCTGTGTGTGGTCTCCCTTTTATAACATCCATATTCAGGCCATTGAAAGAGTACAACATAAGTTCCTGAGGTATATAGCATTCAAGGAACACAATGGGAACAAAAACGTCGACTACCAAGTTCTCTCCAAATTACATCTCCCCAGGTTCGTCGTATGTACAGAGATCTTACAATGTTTTACAACCTATTGCACTCAAACTCCCATAGTCCTGGGCTTACTAGTAAGATTGGGCTTCATGTCCCCTCTCGACAGACCAAACTCAATCACCTCTTTCAAGTAAATTTGCATCGCACCAACTATGGCCAAAGCTCTTTTCTCACAAGATCAGCAAGACTGGCGAACGACCTATCAGCTCAAGTGGACTGTTTTCATAGTCTGAGTATATTTAAAAAAGAACTAAAAGACTGTCTGTAAACAATGTATGTGCTTTGTGATATTATCTTTAAATGTTGATGTTATTTTTTACATTATGTGGTTATAAATTTTACTGTTTGTTAGACTTTTAAATTGTAATTAATAAAACTTTAACTTTGTGATATGTTAATGTTAAGTTAAGGCTCAAGTTTTGATTATAGAAGGGACAGAAATCTTACATAATGCAGCGTTTAAGTATGCTAGACCATTTTCTAGATGCAGGATGGAGCATTTTAGGAGGGAACTTGAATTGACTGACTGGTCATTGATATTCGGGTTGACTTATGTAAATATAGCTTATTGTCATTTTATTACCGTAATCACGGGCTTGTTAGACAGAATATTTATTACTAAAAAAGTTAATAATAAACAGAAATTTAAATCTTGGATGACACCAGGTATAAAAACGTCATGCATAAAAAAGTATATTTTATGATAAAAAGATCAAGGGACAATTATAAGCAAACTATTTTCGAAGCGACAAGAGTAACTAATTTGTCATCAACTCTGATAGATAATATTTTGTATAACTCTACACAATTTAAGAGTTATATTTTGAATACTGCATTATCTGATTGTTAGATGATAAAGATTTTTATAATTTATATCAAGATGTTAAAAATCACCGTTGTCATCGAAATATGTTTATTTAAAAAAAATATATATAGTTTTTAGTTTTTGATCTGTCAAGATATTATTTTGATTTGTAAAAATAGTATAAATATAATATTCCATTAACAAACGGACTCAAATCAATTTGTATTATACAGTCCACTTAGATAGATTACATTTGGTCCTTCGAGCCGGATTAGATGTGATACCAGCCTTTTTTCTTGGAAGTTTTCATTGTCGAAGAAAAACGTTCTATTGCCGACCTGCCGTATTTAGAAGTTGTACATCTACGTTGCTGTTTGAAGTCTTTAAAGCAACGATGGATTGTTGATAATATGGTTTTGGTGGTTGTTGAAGGCTGAATATTTAGTCAAGTGAGTTCGTTCCGTTAAGGAGATAGGGGATATATATTTGTACTATTGCTTTGTGAGATTTTTTGGGTTTGTCTAGTGTTTTCTTTCAGTTTTTAGGAGAAAATGTCAGAAATTTGTAAATTAAAACGCCAGCGCGGTTTTATTAGAGGGCAATTAACCCGTCTCAAGAGCTATTTAGCATCAGTTTATTCCGAAAACCTCACGGATTTGGTGCTAAATCAGTTGCAAAGTAGATTTGAGTTTTGTTTTGTTCTATTCCCTAGGTATTTGTAATATTCTCCGATTTAAATGGACTCTATTCTGTTGCTGGTTGTTGTTGTGTAATCTGGTGTTGCGGTTAGTTTTCCTCTCACTATTCCTTCAATTTTGCATTTTTGTGTTCCCAGTTCCATACCAATCTCGTTGCTGAACTTTTCCACTGTTTTAACTGCATTCATTAGATTTTCTTCAGTACTTGCATAAAGTTTCAAATCGTCCACATAAAAGAGATGTGTGATTATGTGGCTTGATCTTCCTAATTTGATTTTGAATCCTTTAGTTGATGTGTTTAGAATACTTGAGAGGGGGTTCATGCATAAACAGAAGAGAAGTGTGCTTAGACTGTCACCCTGGAATATACCTGTTTTAATGCTTATTTTGCTGGATCGGATGTTAGTGGCTTGGTTTCCCGTCACTGTTGATCACTGAATCTGCTCTTTTGGTAGGTGTTACCGCTCTGATGGATAGGGTGGTTTTCCATTTGGTCATTGTATCCTCAATGAATCTGATTAGGGTAGGGTTGACTTTATATATATTCTAAGTACAAATAATATCCAAGAGTGTGGGATCTTATCGTAAGCCTTAACGTAGTCAATAAAACAAGTAAACAGGTTGCGGGTTTTCTTAGTGGCTTGGTTCATAACGACTGAGTTAATGGTAAGTTGTTCCTTGCACCCTAGTGTTTTTGCTCGGCTTCCTTTTTGCTCTTCTGCTAGTATATTGTTTTGTATGCAGTGATCACTTAGTACTTGGTTAATGCACCCAGTGATTAGCTTGTAGATTGTGTTTAAGCAGGTGATCGGCCTGTACTGGGACGGGTTTTGAGTATCATTGGATTTAGCCAACAGATATGTTGTTCCTTCGCATATTTTTTCATCTAATAGTGTTGGGTCTTAGACCACTTTGTTTGTGATTTAGACTAGTTTTGGGTGTAGGCTGGTGAACTTCTTGATGCAGATGTTGTGGATGTGGTCTGGTCCAGGGTCTTTCCAATTATGGGTTTTGCTTAGTTGGGCTATAAGTACGTCTGTTGTGATTTGGTTGGTTGTCATCTGAGGTATTCCTGCATTGGCTTTTTCGATTGTGCTAATACAATCTGCTTTGTCATTGTGATTTTTTGGGACCGACCATATGTCTTTCCAAAACTCTTCTATACATCCGATGGGTGGTGTGTTTCCCTGTTCATTTTGTTTATTGGCAATGGTGCTGTAAGATTGTTTTTGGGTAGCGAGGAATCTGGCATTGTGAGATTCTCTATCGTTGTTCTTGTTGTATCTCCTTAATCTTTTTGAATATGCCGCTATTTTCTACTTGATTGTGTTGATGGTTTCTTCTATATTTTCATTTAATAGTTCATGCCTTGAATGATATCTGTATGTCTCCTTTATCTTCTTAATTTTCTTCTTTAGTTTTTCACTCGGTTTTCCTTTTCGGTATTCCAATAGTTGTGCTAGCGCTATTTTAGGTCTGAAATCTGTCGTTCTAGTCTTCCTTGCCACCTATGTGTTGCTTTTTGGTGGTTGCTTATATATTCCTCTAATATTTTAGCTCCATTGCACTTGCAAATTGACAAAGCCCCTAAGTACAGGATGTTCTGTATTTCCTCAAGTGTTGTGAGATTTTTCAACTGCTCGGGCAGAATGATGGAATTGAAGATTACAATTAGTTCTGCTAGTTTCTTTGAGTTTTGTTTAGGAATGCCAATTCTATTTTCTAATGGTATTCCTTCCCATCTCGTTTTGGCCTCTTTAAATTCATGTGTTAGAATTTCCGCTAGCGGAAATTCTTTGCTTGATTGCATTTCAGTTCCATTAATTTGATTTGTCTTTTGTTCCTGTTCTCTTTCCTCTGGATGAATTCCTTCTTGACTACTTTCATCATTCTCCCTATTAAACATAATCCGTGCCTCTTCAGTTTCTTCTAGTTCATTAGTGTCTAATCTCTGTATATCATGTGTCTCCTGACTTTCTTCCGTTTGACGAAGTCTTCTTTCTACCTTCTGACAGATATTGTTCAGTGTTTCCGCTTCTAAGAGAGCCCCTCCAAACCAAACCAAACCTCCTGATCTTCTATCTGCAATGTTTTGTTCGGTCATGTGATTCAGTTGAGGGTATTCTGTTTGAAAAGCTTCATGCAATTTCTTCCTGTATGCCACCTTGATTCGCTCGCACTTTGTTATTAAGAAATAGTGTTCTATAACAAATTCATTCATTTCATTTGTCCACTTAATCCTTCGCCCACCCTGAGGTGCTAGTGGAGAGGTTCCTCGACGAGGACGAGGAACGTTTCTTCCAATACCATCGTTGTCCAGAGTTGCTGTTTGTGATTGGGGTAGAGTGTTGCCGGTTGCGTGAGTTGCCGATTGGGACTGCGGCCGATTCAAGTCAAGTACAGTCCCGTTACTTGACAGGTCCGAGGCGTTACTGCTTTCTGACTGCATTTTGAAGTTTGGTTTGGTATTTATACTTCCTACCATAGTCCGGGATTCGGCCGCCCATTGTGGATCAGACGCACCCTGGGTTTCAGATGTATGTATGTAGCCGCTCCTCTGGAAACAGACGCTTCATACTCCAGCTCGCCGCCCATTCTGGGTACAACCGCGCCCTGGTGATTTTCCTATTAGTCGCCTTTTACGACGGGGGGAACAGCTCATGGTCCTATTCTGCTCCCCGAGAAATATATGGAGATCTCGGGGTCCCGGAAACCACACGGGGCTTATTATTATTATTATTGTACAATTTATATCATTACGAAAGTTATATTTTAAAAATGTGTATCCTTATCTTTTGAAACAGGTAATAGATTTAATTAAGAGGTGAAAGATTAAATAAATATCAGCAAAATGTTCACAGAGCTGGTACAAATGTAAGAACTTGACAACGCTGTTTCCGATACGCTTCAGGTCTCCAAAAATATATATGGAAGGAAAGGATATGGAACGGATAGTGTGCATTGTCCTATTCATTTACATAATATAATATTTTACGTAAACGGAATGCTCCTTCCTTAATCCTTCCTACTCAAAGAATCCGAGTAGTATAGTCATGTCATTTATCGTGTTGCCAACTTGAGCCGAACTGATTTGGTGGCTGTCGAAATTCCCGATACAGTCACCAACCATCTGCTGAGGTTGCGTGTTGCCTAAACATGTTTGTCGAAGAGTTCTCTGGAATATGCCAGGTGGAACATGACGGCTGGTCATTCATGAAGGGAGGCATCATGTTGTAATTTTGATTCTGATGTTTAATGGGTTGCTGCCTGTACTGTATGCAGTTGATATTTTCTGGAGCAGGTGCATCCAAATAGGCCGGAGGTACAGCTGGACTGAGTGAGTAGTTGGCACTGGCTCCTTGATGCATGTATCCATGTACATGCATTCCATGTGTACCAACGTAGCGCGATGTTGTATCGAGTTGATTCTATTAAGGGAGTTTGAAGAGTTTGTTCCATTGCCATTCTATCTTGATCATAATTGATTCATAACATCGGTGTGGTCAAACCTGGCCCTCTTTCTCTTAAAATGATGATCAACTGAGTTGGCAAGGAGCAGCTCGAAGGGTAAGGGCTCGCTGGTGGCTTGGTCTGAAGGCCTGTAGAGTTGGATGAAAACTTTGACAGATTCTGTCACGTCCAGCGTTTTGTAACGCGGCGTCTTGAACCAGATGGCATGATGCTTCTGGACTTGATGCTGCAGGAAATCGGCCTTGGCACTCCACACCATCTCATCGTTTTTCATTTCGAAAAAATGAATTTCGATGTCATCCTTTGCTACCTTATCGCATACCAATATTATATTCTTTGGTATATCGACATATCCGACTCTACTTGACAACTTGACAATTGTCAGATCATTGACATTGACAATTGTCATCTTATCGCCCTCAATTAACACCTGGAAGCACAATCTTACCGCGTTGAGGTCTATTGAAGACAGTTCATTTTGTGGGGCAAAATGTTGCCTAAAATAATCCACGTTATATTTTTCTTTTAATGTCATAGAGTATGTGTCCGTAGGTATGGGTAAGGTACAATTTTTGCATCCTTCCTTACTTACTAAATTGTGAGGATGAACCGTATAAGGCGGGTCTTTCATTACACAGAAAACTACAATTACTGCTTTGCCTTTGTACCCTACCACTTCGATCTCTGGATACGTCTTGTATTCCGGAGTACTACTCGCTCCTGGAATAGAGCCAGCAAAGCGACTCTCGCACTCATATCAAAACCTTAAGGCTTTCGATGCTGGTTGTTCTATTATCCTAACGTAAGGCTGTTGCGTTCTTCGGGTTCCGGTATTAGGATGTTGTGGTTGAGGCGGCAAGGCTATCTCACCACTCCCGTTGTACGACATAGATTACGGCAGAGGACATACTGGTTCTCTGAAGTCCTGGTCATAGAACATGTCCGGGTAGTTTTCTCTGATAACAGCAACTAGAAAATATCGATTTTTAACTTCAAACGAATTCCCTAACAACAAAGTTTGTATTATTTTATTATATTTCACTCTTTTAGAATTAGTGGAAGAACATTCACTAGCTTGACATCTCAGAACACTCTTATTATTATTATTATTATAATTTGATAGTCCGCGATTCCCTCAGCGAGGTCACGGGGATACTCTAGGAAGTGAAAACTATTGTTTCGCACTCTAAAAATAGCTCGAAAGCGTTAGCAAACTTAATAACCTATCAGGAGAAAATTGGCTCTAAATGTCCTAAAATAGATAGTCCCTCCTAGAATATGGTAACTAGATGGACATACCATATGATTGAGCGATTTATAGAGTTAGAAAAAACTATACGAAGTACGATAGCTCTATTAGACACAGACTTGCCCCAACTGATATTGGATAACCATCCAATTTCATTCGACCTGATTAAGAAAACTCAAAATAATTTTGGAGACATTTGAGTTATAAGTGGACGACAATATCTTGTAGCTTCTTTAGTTATGGTTCAGTAATTTCTTTAAAAATTTGAAAATACTGACTCTTCCTTCTTTATTCATTTTTGAATCCGTTTGCTTAATCCGCAAGCACATATCTGCTATTCCAAAAGGCCATATCATAACTATCCACTTAGGAATGCAGAGCACGATCTTTATCTGCCAACCCCGAGCTCAGAACTAGTTAAGGGTTCAATACTGTACAATGCCAAAAAAATGTACAATCATCTGCCTTTGAATATCAAATCGCTTTCATTCTTTCCCGCATTTCGCAAGGCTCTAAAATCATACCTACTGGAGAGAGCCCTATACGCGGTAAACGACTTTTTTGTTGATGTTTGATTATGAACAATTTTGAATTTTAAAATTTTGATCATCTCACACACTGGTCAAAGGTCAAGTATTTAATATCCTATAACTTTAAAATTATATCTATTTACTGCGTACTGTTCTAAAATTGTCCATGTATATTCTTTTTGTAATTTTAAAGACTTAAATTTTTTTGAATTGTATTATTTGTATTGTGTATTTTTTGTTGTTTGTATTTTTTTGTGATTTTGTTGTTTGTGAGTGCTTTGTCGATGAAGCTGTTTTGGCTTTTTGCACAATAAAGCGTTGTTTGTTTTTGTTTTGTTTGGTCCTTACAGGAGGTCTTTTAGATATCTGCAATGAAATTTTAAAAATAGAAATGACCACAACTTCCAAAGTTATTTTTAAAAAATTGCCACATGGGCTTCGAAACAGATTGGGAAATGTAGAATATAGAATATTCATTAGCAGTAACTACCTAGATCCGCGTTTCAAAACCTAACCTACTAAAATACCAAGATGCGCTGTAAAGGGTAAAAAAACATATAGGAGAGTGGGGCGACATAATTAAAAAAAGTCCTATTAATCGTGCGTAGTCCAACCACCCACCAATAATGTCGAAGACAATTTGATTAAAAAGCCTACATTTTCAGTTCTACAATCGACAAGATTACGTCAGAAAATCAAATAGGAATACCAAATAAACATTCCACCTATAGGACGATTATAGAAATCCAGAGATACATGGAAAACACCATTCTGGATCGAGAAAATACCAGTTAGAATGGAGGAAAGAAAATGCGTATATATATCCCAATTTAAATGTACTGGCTAAAGAAAAAATTATGTGCCATGCGACCTCAGTATCATGCGAAAGTTTACTTTCAAAATGCATCAACAGTGGTTGACTATTCTTGGCATGTCTAAGAAAGATTTCGTTTGGTCAAGGAGTAAAGTTCTCTGTTCAGATTATTACAAAAAAAATGATTTTATTTTACGCAGTTCCAACAAACGCTTGAAGTTAAATGTTGTACCCACAAAAAATTTTATTAAAAAAAGAACTGGAAATATAAGCGGCATTGGCTTTGACAAAATGGATACTACAGTTTCAACCCTTCAAGCTTCAACATCTTCAAGAGATTAAAATAAAACAAAGCTGGAACATTGCTTTGTGTAAAAAAAATATTGTTTAATTCTTATCTTGATAAATATAACTTGTACTTGTATAATAACTTATAGTACATTTTTTTACCAAATAAAAGATTTAACAGCTAAAGAAAAGTGTGTATGAACATTGTGTATGAATCGTTAATACGACTAAATTATATGAAAGTTAAAATAATATCAGTGACTTCAAGCGTAAATATTGCAATGGAAATGGGTTGGTTTGGTTTGGTTGTACTATTGCATTGCACACTAGCATGTGCAACATGCATATAGCATGTTGTAGCAATTGCTTTGCACAGATACTAAAGTGTGATTACGGTTTAACTCCAAATAAAACTCAATTTATTAGTTTTGCTATTAGTGCTATGTCTGCCTGTTGCATTTTTGATGACTTTATGAAAACAGATTTTTTTAATCTATTAGGTGTCAAGACCATTTGGAAATATTTTTTAGTTCTGTGAGGTGAGACTTTGAGATAATTTGTTTCCAACAACAAACAAACTAACAACGCTTTATTGTGCAAAAAGCCAAAACAGCTTCATCGACAAAGCACTCACAAACAACAAAATCACAAAAAAATACAAACAACAAAAAATACACAATACAAATAATACAATTCAAATAAATTTAAGTCTTTAAAATTACAAAAAGCTTCCTTCTGAAATAGAAATATATTCCAATATGCCTACAATTTATGAGGACATTTAGAAGGTACTATTATATAACAGAAGGAAATTGTAAACTTGTGGAGACAACCACTGATCTTTCTATTCCAAGCGCAAAAGTTAAAAGAACAGAGGAAGATGTTGATGAATTGTAACAGTTAAATTTCATCGCTACGACCTCTGTGTGCTAGCTCATGAATTATCGCAAATAACTATTATTTTTGCATCATGTTTACTATAATTTTATTGTTAAATATTATTTTATATAAATTATGCAACCCGATATACACCGCGATATACAGCTACAGCTACACAATATTGTCACTGGACCAGGTACACCAGCGGTAGTAGGCTTTTTGTCCATCTCTCTATATCTTTGATCATCACCTCC